TTCTTACCTTAATTGATGAAAACACTCAAATGATGTGAAGTTTATATCTTAAAAGATAAATCTGAAGGTGATGTCACCTTCAAAAACTTTCACTCCATTTTAACCCATTCAAAACTTCAATTCAAGTTCTTCAAATCGACAATGACAGTGAATTTTTTAATTCTATTTTAGGTGAGTTCTCGATAAGTAAGGGTACCCTCCATTATAGCTCATCTACGGACATGCTTCAACAAAATTGAGTAGCTGAGAAAAAAAAGCCAAAATCTTCATTAAGTAGCTTGCTCCATTATGTTTGTCCCGAAAAAAATTTGGAATGATATGCTTATTGCCACCTATCTCATCAATAAAATTCTCACTAAAATTCATAACTTTAGACTCCATAAGCCATCTTGATGTAATGTTTCCCTACCACTTAGTTCTTAACCACTCATGAACCCAAAATTTTTGGATGCACGACCATTGTTCGGAACACTACCCCTAATCGTATAAAGCTTGATCCCAGGTATATAAAATGTCTTCCCCAAATATTCTTCCACAAAAAAAGACTATTGGTGCGTGATCCTACCACAAATTAACTCTATGTTTATACCGATGTCTCGTTTAAAAATGTTCTCTACTTCCCTGCCATTGCCTCAAATGAGCGGGAGCTTGATTTCTTGGACAATATTCTTTATCCGACCCTGTGGATATTTCTCCAACCTCTATACCCGAGGAGCCATCTACCACCTACCAAACAACCAAAACTTTCTCACATTCTTCGTGTCTATACTTGACACACTCATGTTCCCACTTTGGAGCCCCCTACCTCTTTTCAGAACCAGGAATTCACTCCGAGTGACATCCTCATAAATAACACCACTCCAAACGAGGAGATGAGTTCTTCTGCTGAGACATATAATTAGATAAGCTCTCTTTATTCCATGAAAAAATATATCTCTTTCCACAACGTATCTTTGACCAATAAAGATTTAATTTGTGCTACCAAGATGGATCATCACCTCCCATCTACTATTGAAGCAACATTAACTAACCCTTCTTGGAAAGCTTCAGCAATGGAAGAAATAAATGCCTTCAGCAGAATCATACATAGGATGTAGTGGATCTTCCACCATGTTAGAAAATAGTAGGGTGCTGCTAGATTTTTAGCACTAAGTTTAACTCTGATGGATCCT